CTGCTGGGAGGGTAACCAACTACCCTCTCATCAAAGACCTACTAAAAGGGAGAAAGCAGGAGGGCCGCCAGTGCATGGCACTGTAAGACTAGCTAACAACACAGGCTGGGAGGCAGTAAGCCTTCAACAAGAGGAGCATATTTCTGATGGCCAACTAAACTGACATAGCAGGAAACTGATAGGTAAAGTAGGCAATGGATGAATCTGATTGATTGGGAGAAAGCACCAGGACACAGATAAAACTTCAGTGGAATAGAGTTTATTAGCAAAGGAACACCTGGGACAGATTCCCTTTCAGGCAGGGAAAATTTCTTCCCCCATGAGCTGGGGTCTTTTATAGGGGGAGGCTTCTGGGGGGAGCAAAAGGCAGGAAGATTTATTTTTAAAGTTAGGTGGTGGGGGGGGGATCCTGCTGTGTTGGTCAAATAGTGGAGAAAAGTCTACTTCTCTTGACTTCAAAGACCAGAGGTCCGTGAGTCCCTGTTAGTGATGGGGTGGGGCTATCTGAACCCTAACAGAAACTTCTTCCCTAAACTCTTATGCTCATGCACACAGAGAAAACCTACCCCCAACCTTATTCAGTCTCTCTTTACAATGAACAAGAGGGGATACAGAGACTAAGAGCAGCTCAAGATACAAATTATAAATGGTGGATGCAGACACTGACTTAAATGTCACTTATAATATGCCCTCTATGAATCAGAGGACACTGAGCAAGAGGCAGAGGCAGAAGTGAAGAGCTGGAAGGGAGGTAGAAGGTCTAACAATGCAATCCTCTGGACTCAGTACAAACAATGTAATGATTAACATGCATCAGATTTAGTGATCTGCCCTGAGTCTGAGCAAAGCTGGCCCCATCAACAATCAGGAAACAAAGGGGCTACAAAGTGATAGCTCATCTCAAAATCACAAAGAAAGGGAGAAATTAGTTGAAGAAGTTAGGAAAAGCGTCCAAGTCAAGTGAGTGACATGAAGAGAAATTCTCATAAGGGAAATTTATATCAAGTTCCATGAGAAAGAGAAAAAATAACACATTGTCCATGTATTTACGAAGAAAACATTGTTTTATGTCAAGAGAAACCACATTTGGTTGGTGTGTTCTTCACAATCAACTGTGCTTAAATGTTGAGCTTTCAGGTCTAAAATAGTGAGTCTCTTCTAATACTTCCACTTCTGCATAAATTTCTCATTGATTTTTCACAATGGTTTCCAAATGCTTAAATGCCCATTATTACAAGTCTGGTACACCAAAGACAAGTGTATAACCACGGATGGAGTCTACACAGCAAACATCCACTTCCTCACTGATACATGGAAGACATATGTCCATCCTCAGTAGAACTGTGCTTCACTCTGTTTCTACTTTTATCCACCACATCAGAAACTTTTTCAGTATTACAGGTCTCAAGTTCATGGAGAAAGATGACCATGATAGAAAAGGAAGCCCAAAAGCTATGGGAAACACTCTCCATACATCATCAAAAGCAAATAAAGGCTTACAGGAGTACAATATAGAATATTTCTAGGGAAAAATCATGAACATGGCCAGTAAAATAGAACATATTCACTGAAACCATGATCATTTCTCTCCTTTTCCCTTTGCTAAGTTTCTGTATCAGGGACAATAATCTGCTTTATTTCACCTTCTGCTTGAGGGCTTGCTTTAACAGGAAGCAATAAACAGCTGTCACTCCCACACCCACAGGCAGAACACCTTAGACAGCAGATATGCCTCAAGACCCGGACTTCAGAACAATAGACTCAAATAAAGTGGAAAAAAAGTGAGCTTCTCCATTCCTACAGAGGTCTTCTCTGTAGTCAAGAATGGGAATTTCTAATGTCAAGCCAATGTTTGATTAAAGTTTTACTGGGGAACCAATGAACTTATTGAGCTTACCAACATAACTGAGGGTTTGCTGATGTGTATGTATGACCTGAGGGTATGACACTTTAACCTTCAAAGGGAATAAGAATTGTTTAAAATCCCCAAGAAAAGAAGTCTCACAACAGATGGAAAATTTATTTGGTAATGCTATTATGCCTCCTAATTTTTTTTGGTCTTTTTGAGACAGGGTCTCTCTGTAGCCCCAGGTGTCCTGGAACTCACTATATAGACCAGACTGGCCGTGAACTCACAAAGATCCGCCTGCCGCACAAGTGCCTACAGGCGTGTGCCACCACGCCCGGCCTCCTCTTTTTGTTTTATGAGACAGAATCTTTCTCTTTAGCCCAAGCTGGCCTAGAA